GCTGATCCAACAGGCAGGAACATAGAACCATAACACCTCTATCAGCTGATCCAACAGGCAGGAGCATAGAACCATAACACCTCTATCAGCTGATCCAACAGACAGGAACATAGAACCATAACACCTCTATCAGCTGATCCAACAGGCAGGAACATAGAACCATAACACCTCTATCAGCTGATCCAACAGGCAGGAACATAGAACCATAACACCTCTATCAGCTGATCCAACAGGCAGGAACATAGAACCATAACACCTCTATCAGCTGATCCAACAGGCAGGAACATAGAACCATAACACCTCTATCAGCTGATCCAACAGACAGGAACATAGAACCATAACACCTCTATCAGCTGATCCAACAGGCAGGAAACATAGAACCATAACACCTCTATCAGCTGATCCAACAGGCAGGAACATAGAACCATAACACCTCTATCAGCTGATCCAACAGACAGGAACATAGAACCATAACACCTCTATCAGCTGATCCAACAGACAGGAACATAGAACCATAACACCTCTATCAGCTGATCCAACAGACAGGAACATAGAACCATAACACCTCTATCAGCTGATCCAACAGGCAGGAACATAGAACCATAACACCTCTATCAGCTGATCCAACAGGCAGGAACATAGAACCATAACACCTCTATCAGCTGATCCAACAGACAGGAACTTAGAACCATAACACCTCTATCAGCTGATCCAACAGACAGGAACATAGAACCATAACACCTCTATCAGCTGATCCAACAGGCAGGAACTTAGAACCATAACACCTCTATCAGCTGATCCAACAGGCAGGAACATAGAACCATAACACCTCTATCAGCTGATCCAACAGGCAGGAGCACAGAACCATAACACCTCTATCAGCTGATCCAACAGACAGGAACATAGAACCATAACACCTCTATCAGCTGATCCAACAGACAGGAACTTAGAACCATAACACCTCTATCAGCTGATCCAACAGGCAGGAACATAGAACCATAACACCTCTATCAGCTGATCCAACAGGCAGGAGCATAGAACCATAACACCTCTATCAGCTGATCCAACAGGCAGGAGCATAGAACCATAACACCTCTATCAGCTGATCCAACAGACAGGAACTTAGAACCATAACACCTCTATCAGCTGTTCCAACAGACAGGAACATAGAATCATAACACCTCTATCAGCTGATCCAACAGGCAGGAACATAGAACCATAACACCTCTATCAGCTGATCCAACAGGCAGGAACATAGAACCATAACACCTCTATCAGCTGATCCAACAGGCAGGAACATAGAACCATAACACCTCTATCAGCTGATCCAACAGGCAGGAGCATAGAACCATAACACCTCTATCAGCTGATCCAACAGACAGGAACATAGAACCATAACACCTCTATCAGCTGATCCAACAGGCAGGAGCATAGAACCATAACACCTCTATCAGCTGATCCAACAGACAGGAACATAGAACCATAACACCTCTATCAGCTGATCCAACAGGCAGGAACATAGAACCATAACACCTCTATCAGCTGATCCACCAGGCAGGAACATAGAACCATAACACCTCTATCAGCTGATCCAACAGACAGGAACATAGAACCATAACACCTCTATCAGCTGATCCAACAGGCAGGAGCATAGAACCATAACACCTCTATCAGCTGATCCAACAGGCAGGAACATAGAACCATAACACCTCTATCAGCTGATCCAACAGGCAGGAACATAGAACCATAACACCTCTATCAGCTGATCCAACAGACAGGAACATAGAACCATAACACCTCTATCAGCTGATCCAACAGACAGGAACATAGAACCATAACACCTCTATCAGCTGATCCAACAGGCAGGAACATAGAACCATAACACCTCTATCAGCTGATCCACCAGGCAGGAACATAGAACCATAACACCTCTATCAGCTGATCCAACAGGCAGGAACATAGAACCATAACACCTCTATCAGCTGATCCAACAGGCAGGAACATAGAACCATAACACCTCTATCAGCTGATCCACCAGGCAGGAACATAGAACCATAACACCTCTATCAGCTGATCCACCAGGCAGGAACATAGAACCATAACACCTCTATCAGCTGATCCAACAGACAGGAACATAGAACCATAACACCTCTATCAGCTGATCCACCAGGCAGGAACATAGAACCATAACACCTCTATCAGCTGATCCAACAGGCAGGAACATAGAACCATAACACCTCTATCAGCTGATCCAACAGACAGGAACATAGAACCATAACACCTCTATCAGCTGATCCAACAGGCAGGAACATAGAACCATAACACCTCTATCAGCTGATCCAACAGGCAGGAACATAGAACCATAACACCTCTATCAGCTGATCCACCAGGCAGGAACATAGAACCATAACACCTCTATCAGCTGATCCAACAGACAGGAACATAGAACCATAACACCTCTATCAGCTGATCCAACAGACAGGAACATAGAACCATAACACCTCTATCAGCTGATCCAACAGGCAGGAACATAGAACCATAACACCTCTATCAGCTGATCCAACAGGCAGGAACATAGAACCATAACACCTCTATCAGCTGATCCACCAGGCAGGAACATAGAACCATAACACCTCTATCAGCTGATCCAACAGACAGGAACATAGAACCATAACACCTCTATCAGCTGATCCAACAGGCAGGAACATAGAACCATAACACCTCTATCAGCTGATCCACCAGGCAGGAACATAGAACCATAACACCTCTATCAGCTGATCCAACAGGCAGGAACATAGAACCATAACACCTCTATCAGCTGATCCAACAGACAGGAACATAGAACCATAACACCTCTATCAGCTGATCCAACAGGCAGGAACATAGAACCATAACACCTCTATCAGCTGATCCAACAGACAGGAACATAGAACCATAACACCTCTATCAGCTGATCCAACAGGCAGGAACATAGAACCATAACACCTCTATCAGCTGATCCAACAGGCAGGAACATAGAACCATGACACCTCTATCAGCTGATCCAACAGACAGGAACATAGAACCATAACACCTCTATTAGCTGATCCAACAGACAGGAACATAGAACCATAACACCTCTATCAGCTGATCCAACAGGCAGGAACATAGAACCATAACACCTCTATCAGCTGATCCAACAGGCAGGAACATAGAACCATAACACCTCTATCAGCTGATCCAACAGCAGGAACATAGAACCATAACACCTCTATCAGCTGATCCAA